TGGGATTGCAGCCAACAGCTGTTCCAGATGAGGGCTGTGCAGAGGCTGCAGGTCAGTGTTGGGGCTGCTGCTGGACTTCCCCACAGGGTCAGCCACAGGCAAATCCTGCAGCCCTGGGGGCTCCCTGAGTGTCACCTGTGGGGTATTCTGCCTTCCCAGCAGAGGGGAGATGGTTTCCAGTTTGAATTCAGGGGTAGGTGTGGCGCTGTGTCCTATCCCAGCTCTGCAAAGCCTTCATCCCCATCCCCACCCTGCACCACGGGGGCCTCTGGCCTGAGGACAGAGTTCACATCTCAAGGACAAGGTGTTCCCTTCCAGGCTGCCTCCAAGGGCTGGGGCTCCTGGCCCTGAGCATGCCAGTGTGGACACCTCCCTGCCAGTGTCTGACTGGGGCCCCAGCCCTGGTTAATGTACCAGCACTGAGACAGCATTTCTAGAGCCTTGGGCCAAAAGCTGGGGCTGCTGTTTGAGGATATTCATTTGGGTATTTCACTCAGCAGAGGAGCTGAGGGGCAAACCAGCCTTATGCTGCCTGTCTGCAGGGGCAGCCCTGCTCTCACTGCAGAGTGCCAGGATTGGTGCCTGGGTTTCTCACCCTGCAGAAAAGCTGAGAACTCTTAATTCCCTTCCCTTCTTATTTGTTTTTCATGAGTCACTCAGTAAATAACTGTCCGTGTTAAATGCTCAGGTGGGAAGGCTTTGGTGTGGGACCTACCAAAGTGCTGCTGGCACTGAGGGCCAGCATTCCACTGGGAAATCTGTCATCATGAGCTGCAGACCAGCTTGCAGGCAGCCTTTGAATATCACTAGCAGAACATACATTTGATTCCTCAGGTAAATACAAATTGAAAAGGTAATATTTAATTGGCATTTAAGTAAGCAATATAATAGCACATGATCTCTGCTCAAACTTGTTTGTTCTGGTGCAGCTTCTGTCCAGTGCTGACCGAGACTTTGAGAGCTCTGCTGTGCTGCTGCCAGGTCACATCTTTGTGCCTTCCTTTTCACGAGGCTGAGGTGCAATCACACTGCTCTGATGCATGAGCCTCACACGCTCCTGTTCATCTCAGACTGCTGTAGTAAATCAGGAGGAGCCTCACTGACACCCATGGCATCAGCATAAAAGCAGTAAGAGCCACATCCAGAGTAGCAGGGTGATTCATTGCCTTACTATTTGCAGGCTGGGCTTGCATGGCTGCTGTGGATGCCAAGGGAAGGGAACTGCCACAGCTTAGCATTACTCTTCCCCTGCATGCCTCTAGTGCCATCCTTTTATCTTAATGAGGAGGTTCAGTGTGTCAGTGGGAAGGACATGGGCTCACAGGAGTCAGCTGAATTCCATGTACTTCCATGGCAGTGGATGGTGCACACCAGTTGGTAAAATGATGCAGGATCTTTCCACCCACCTCTAAAAAGTTGGTGTGTTGTATGGACCCCTCCAGTGCTGACTCTGCAGGTGGACCTGGGGAGAGGCTGGAGGCAGGGAGTGGTGTGGCTGCACAGGAAGCCATACCAGGTTATGGATGGATCCCAGCACCAGGAGCAGGTCCAGCCCCAAAGCACCAGAGCTGCGGGATGTGCGAGGCTGCGGCAGGAGCACCAGCAGGAGAGGATGAGTGAGTGCTGGGCTCCCACCTCTGCCTTCCTCCCTGACCTCTTCCTCTTTGTTTTCTTCCTGTTGCTCAGAGCAAGCTGCTGAGTCAGAGCAGCAGGAGCAGGAAATTCTCTGTTTGGAGGGTGAGATCAGAGTGTTGCTCCTGCTAAGCAAAAGCAATTTATTTTGCTTTGCTGGTGATTTCAGCGTGACCAGGAGGCTGGGCACACTGAAATGGTGGTCACCATGCTAACAGGCTGCTTGTTTTCCTCACACCATCATGGATAGCACAAATACAATGATACTGGTTTCACAAATTAAATATTGTATGTACTGTAATGAAGTGTGAGCTGGATTATTAAGAACAGGTCAGAAGACTTTTTCCACACCCATTTTCACAATGAGTAATTATGATTATTCCATCCCATCCAGAGGACTCTAAATTTTAATTGTATTGTAAATTGTCGCAAAATGCTTAATCTAACACAAGGGAAAACACAAGGAGGGAATAAGAAGCAGCTTTTCATCTAGTGATGTTACAATGGTTAACAGGATGCTCTTAGAGGTTTTATTAGCTAAGGAAGTGGGACTTTATACTGATGGATAAAGGTTTGAATTTAATTGGTTTTGGCTCTGAAGGCTTACAAAGAAATACTTATATTGGGCTGCAAATGATATTTCCCTTACAATGCAGAGGATGCCTTTTCTCTGTCTAAAAGAAAAGCACAATTCTGCTGCCTTTCTTCATAAAGGTCCCTTTCAGTTAGAAAGTTTGCATGATGAAGCCCACAAAAGAGAGAGCAAATCTGTTTTTCTAAGGGCCTCTCTCATAGAGCAAAGTCAGGATTTTCTTTCAAAATTTTCAGTGCAAAAGGCAAAAAGAAATTCTTAATTTTCTTAGTTTATGGCAACACTCATTTTGACAAACAGTACACTGTTTCCCCAGATGCACATTAATCTCCCTGCTCCCATGGGCTGTGGCAACAGACCCAAGGCCTTCACAGTCCACAGTGCTCACATGTTAATTTATGTTCTTAAATCATAGCTAAAGTCATCATCCTGTTCTTCCCTCTCCAAAAATACTTAGATGAGGTGCCCACAATTTTGATGGCTGAAATCAGGACATGTGCATCTTGCCTTATATGAATATGTGAAGAGGAACCTGAAGAGCTTTTATTTTAATAGGGAAAAGATTTAGAGCTGGCTTTCTTTCTCCCCTCTCAATTGGTTTTGAGCCTTGGGTAGCACAAAGCTATTCATAATTTTGCAGGTTACTGGACTTCCTCTGCCTAAAAAGCATCTTATGCTTCCCCCAGCTTCCTCTCAGAGAACTGGGTAAGCTGTGGAAGCACTGCAGTCAGGGAAATCTGGAAAGGTGCTGAGTTCTCCCAGACCCTCATAGTGCAGAACAGCAAAGGATCTGGTCCAGGTACCCCGACTCATTCTCCTCTTCCATGCCCCTTGCAATGAGGCACATCCTGTTGTTCACTCACAAAAACGCAGCCTTGCTATTATTTCGGAGTTGTAAGGGGAGGAATGAGCATGCTTCCAGTTGCTACTTTTTCCAAAGGCTCTTCCTCAATTCAGAAATAAAAGGACAGGTTTTTTTTTTCCCCAGTGTGAAACACTGCAGCATCTTCTGCTGATGCACAAACCAGCACAAACCCTCTTGGGTGAACAGGCTGCTGGTGATCTCCTCAAAGGGTGGGAACCCCTGGGCTTTCTCACTCTGCCCCACGTGTGCTCTGCTCGAACCCCCAAGGTCTCACTTCACCTTTTGCAGAGGTGAGGGACGAGCTGGTACAGGAAGGAAGGAGTTTCGCTTTGCTGAGGACCAGGGAGTGCAGCTGGAGCTTGTTTGGTGGGGTCCACCTGCAGATGGCTGGAGCTGCTCAAGCTGTTGGCCCCTTTCACACTTCCATGGAGGTGTAGAGCAGGAACTCATCTTGGGCCAAGCCTTTCTGGGTATGAGAAGAAAAGGATTAACTAATGGACAGCATAATTAAATAGGGGGTGATTGCCATCTTCATTTCCTGTACCCTGCCCTGGGAGGATAATAACAGGTTAGGCCACCACATCAAAATGTTCTTGAATACCTTTAGTGACACGACAACAAAAGCTAACTGCAAAAATGTCAAGAAAATCATGGAGTCGGCAATGTCTCTTGGCATTCACGGTTCTGGTCTTACTGTGGCGAGGCAGCTCCTTGGAAGGTGCTCAGGAGTTTGGTAGTAGGTAGGTGTCATGCCATCTTTCCATCTACTTTCAGAATAAGTGCAAAGCCTTCTGTCCTTCTCCAGTAACAATGGTTACGTGAGTGATCCCATTCACACAATGTCACCTTCTGTAAAGAAATATTTGGAAAGAGGATTATGGGGTAAACAGAGTTTTTCATGGGCAATGCAGAACAGACAAAAATAGGATTGCCATTTCTATGAGCCCTCTAGTGATAAAATGGGGCTGTGAATAGCATAACTGGTCAGTGAGACAGCTATTAATCACAGAGTGCTGTAGATCATGCTTCTGAAGGGCTGAATTTGTTATGGAAATTGGAATTCATTCCCTAAAGAAACACATCCTAGAGCAATCCCATTGTAAATGTATGGCAAACAGGTGGAAGCCAGCAGCCCTTGGTCATAGCAAACACAAGGAGTGTGGTCCCTTTAGCTGTTTGCTTATTCTCCTTCCCATCCCATTTCCCTTCACTGTGATGCTGAGGCAGATCTGCATTGCTGTTGTGCCCACAGGCCAGTGCTCCTCACAGCCAGGCACTGCACAACATGATAGTGGAGAAGCTCTCCTATGGCTATGGGGCTAACAGTTTGGTGTTTTCTACTCCACTGCTTCATCCTTCAATCATATTATCCCAGTTCAGCAAGCAACAACAAACCAATTTTTAATTCAGGAAAATGGCCAAGACATTTCTCTTCTTCAGGGTGAAATAAACACAAAAGTTGGCTGTAGGTTGTCACCAACTCCTACTCATTTTCATCCTGCTGCACTGGGAATTAGAGCACAGTTTAATAATACATAAGGACAGGGATGATGCATTGAGAGTTTAAAACTGATTTTAGTCCTCATAGCTTACTCTATTGTAGAACAGTGCAGCATTGGGAGGCTGTGTGTTTATGGCTACATGGGTAGCAGCATGGGTTACAGCAAAGGATGTCCCACTTTTGGAGGGGAAATGGAAGTTGAGTTTCTAATTTATTTGGGGTGTTTGCGATGTGTAAGTGCCGTGCAGGATTGGTACCTGTCCCACAGAAAAGCCATGTGCCCAAACTGCCAGGTGTGTGACTGCATTGCCTTCCTCACCCCTCCAGCCCAACTCAGTGGCACTGTTGCACCCTCAACTTCTCTGCTCTGTTAGCAAACCAAATATAAAGTGGATCCTGATCTTTTTCAGGGGGATGGGACCCTGCACTTTGCACTTGCTTCCATTCCTCAATCTGAAGAGAGCTCATGAAAAAGCAAGCACAATAATTGATTGGTTCTATTAATATGTCCTGAACTGATCTCTTGCACTGACCATAGCTTAATGAATAATGTTCCCAGCAAAGTTTGCAGGTACAAGTAGGAAAATGTTGTTGCTACAGATATCCTCTGTGATGCTAAATCCTCCTTTTCATCATGCTCCAGTGCTTTTGCATGGAAGCTCCCCACTCTGTACTGCACATGTCCTCACAGCTTTGACCCGCACTCACATATAATTTGCTGCTGCTGCTAAGGGAGCTCATATTGTGTTCATGATGAAAGCTGCATCAACAATATTGCTGCAGGGGCAGGTCTGAAAAGATGCTGCAGACCTGGAAATAGCTGGGAGGGGAGGCTGGCTGTACAAGCCGGCCACTGCTGCTCTGGGCAGCCAGAAATCAAGGCAGGTTTTGACCAAGGGTAAGCTGCAGCACCTGGGACCCTTGTGCTCAGCTTTGGGCCAGCCCAGCTGTGATTCCAGGTGCTTTATCTCACAGAAAAGCCACCTGCCAGAAGTGGCCAGGTGACTGCCTTTTTTTTCTTTCCTGTGCAGCTCCAAGCTGTGATGGTCCTGTGGAGCACTGGCAGCAGTAAAACATCCAACTGCTGGATCCCTGCCTCCCTCTTGGGGTCTCCCCTTCCCTGCATCCCAGTCTGAATGGGTCTCTGGGATGGTGAGTGGGACAAACAGGAGAAGCTATCTGTGAAAAATCTATTGAAATAATGTTCCTGATAGTTAGTGCATTTGCATGTGTAATGGCTGAGGTGCTTTCCCTGGATTATGCCATTGCCAGTTTGGGAATGGCCATAAGGCATGTCTGCTCCAAGCTAGAGTGAGCAATACTGGAAAGTGCTGGGTGGAGCAGGGAGGGGGGCAGCTATTATGTGCACATGGTCATTACACATGTAAACACAATATTAAAAATAGAGCTGGTTGAATACTGCCAAGCATTTCTCTGCTACCCGTTGGAATTAAAGGCAGACATGGGTTTGGCTGGAATCCCTGCCATTTTGTCCTGTGACCATTTCAGTGTGATAGAAAAATGCCTGAAAAAGAAAATGGATAACAAACTCCTGTGTGTCAGTATTTAAATGAGAAAGTTTTGTTCCATATGGGGTGGGACACTGTTCAACACAGCAGTGGCAGAACAGGATTTCTGAAACCTCCTGCCAAGGATTTGCATCCCTCCCTGGAGGAGCAGAGACTGCTGAGGTGCAGTAAGTGAGCACAAATCACACTGGAGAGCACTCAGCAAATAGAGTTCCTGGGGGACTGATTCACCCTGGGGGAAGAGCAAAGATCAGCACAGTGGCTCCAGAGGACAGCAATGCCCTGCATTGTCATCCATTGTCACAAGAAGCTCTTCATTGCAGAGATGACATGGAAAAAGTGGGAACCTTTGGACTGAGAATTAGCAAACTGGGACAGAATGTGAAAGAAAATCTAAACCCAGAGACCCTCAGGCTGAAAGGATGAAATTGATCCTGAATATTCAGAAGAGGTAAAGAGCCAGTGAAATTATTTGAAAGCTTGGAAAAAGTCCTTACTCATGAACACTTCAGTCTGTTTAGTTTATGATAAGATTGAGAGGTGATGTGATCAGGGTGCAAAGATACTTTCCTAGGGAGAAAGCAGTGCATACTAAAAAGTAAGCACTACTGTAAGCAATACTGCCTCCTTGTTTCCTTATATTTTTCCATCCGTCTGTCAAGTAATATAGCAGAAAGAAAAAGAAGACAGAGCTGGGACAAATTTTCATGAATTCAGCTTCAATGTTTGACATGCAATTCCAGCCACTGTATTTTGCACATAAGCTGCTATATACCAAGTTGGTGCCCTTCAAGGGTAAAGAGGGGACTCCATTTTCACCATCCAAAATTTGGAACTAGGTGAGTATCCTGGAAGCTTTCACCTGCTCACATCCTCTCTTGCCTTCCATGTAAGGAGGGTCTGGACCAAATGTGATGTCTTCCCAGGGTTTGGACATAAGGGAAGGGTCCTGGCACATACCAGATCTCCTCCAGGTCTTCAGCAGAAAAACCAAACCTGTGTTGCTCACAATGCTGGTGGGAAGTGCACTCTGGAGTGGTTAATGAGGTCATTCTCAGACTTCTGGAAACTTTAAGTGGTTTTTAAAAGTAATAACCTGTTCCAAGAGCTAATTTGCTTTGAAGGAAATTAGAGAGGTAGAAAGAAAAAGCAATACAACCTTCAGCTGTCACCTCTGCTCCTTGTCTCTACCTGAGGCATTAAGCTGTTAAAACCTAAAGTGAAACAAATATTTTTCAGGCAAGTGATGGCAAGATAAAAACTTACTTTTGTTGCTAGAATTGACAAAACCAAAACCAAACCTAACCCCTCCACACTTGCACACTGATGGGAGAGAAGTAACTTACTCCTGGCGTGAGATATAACCTACAAGGCGTTTCTGTTAGAAAGAGGCATCCACGCTGGGAATAAGCGGTGCAGAGGGATAAAGCCGAGGGCAGGGCAGCCGGGATGGCTCGGCAGAGGGAGGCAGGTTTCCATGGCGATGGGCGGGATGCTGCGCGGGCGGCACCGCGCTCCCGCAGGAGGGGCTGGTTGCTCTGGAGACAGGAGCGTGCTCCGGGAAAAGGCACGGCCGAGGGAGTGGGACAGGGACAAAGGGACTGCAGGGCAGCGGCCGTGCCATGGGCTAGCCAGGAGGTGAGCCAATGAGGCGCTACCAAACTGATGCATTTCCCCACAAAAAATTCTCTTTTGTTCTTAAAAACCGCAGCCGTGAGCACACGGCCTGGAAACAGCACAGCTCTGGAGGCACAGCGTCCAGCTGACAGCGCAGGGAGCAGCAAAGGTGTCTACAAATTAAACAGTAAATAAAAGCACAGCTGGCGGGAGGAATAAAAAGGACATTTCAGAGTGAATGTGCATCCCTCACTGAAGTCACCACTGCAGTGCATCTTAGTACCTGAGCTGATCAAGGCTCCAGGAACTGCTTCTTGGTCACCCACAGCACCAGGAGAGGCCCACAGGAAGATACCAGCAGGGACAGGGTTGGTGGGATGGTCTCTCTCCTCTTCCCTACAGTCCCATGCTGGGAAAACACACAATTGATTATTCAACCTAGAGTTTTCCCCTCTAGCCAAAGAGAGTAACTTCACACAGTGAAAATCATTAAAGGTGAATACAATGGCATAGCTCATAAAGTGCAGGAGTCTTGCTTGGTGGACAGCACATATACAGGTGATGTTTGGGTACATGGTGGAACCATCTCTCTTCAAGACGATGCTCTAGATTTCCCCCAACCTGCCCAGACCTGAAGAGATCCTGCCTTGTCTTTGTTCCTGGCTGGGTTGACACTAAAGAAGAGACTTTGCCAGGTCCAGAGCTGTAAGACACACCTGAACTGCAGAGAATGGAGACTCACATTTATGGATCCTCTTATTAATGTCTGTAAGGCCCTTGTGACAGCTTCAGGTGTTACGGTGTCCTCATGGCACTCACACAAGGGGACAGCTCTTGCAGTTTGCAGAGGCACAGACATGGACAGGAGTGGGGAAGGAGGGCTCCTCTGTTGGCACTGCCTGGCTGGCCATGGTGCTGGGCTCACATCAGGCTGGTGTGAGGGACAGAGCCAGGGCTGCTCCCTGCCAGCGTGGGACAGGCTGCAGGACAAACTGGAGGCTCCCAAGTGGAGCAGATCCTGATCTGCCCCCGTGCTCCCCGGGGATGCAGGAAGGGACTGTGGGAGCTGTTCTCTGCCCATTCCCAGGCAAGGAAGCGCTGGCATCCATCAGCAGTGACCATGCCAACACTAATCCAAAGCTGCCCCATTTCACATTAATATCATGTTTCACTCTACCCCCATTAGCACCACAGCATGAGTAACCTCAGCTCCTCTCCCACCCCACAGGCCTGAGCAGCAAGACCAAAGATAAAGGATTATTAGCTACCACAATGGGATCAAAAGAAGTTTGTCATCTATAATGGACCATGGGATGCTGATCATTTCTCTACACTAGCCCATTAGTAACAGGGCTTTAAGAAGCTGAAAATGGCTTTTAAAAGTAATTATATTTTGAGAACTACAACCACAAAGTTTATTGTGCTCATGAGGATTTCATTCATATCCTTCCATATATTGACTAATATCATGTATTTTGCAAAGAGAATTTATAATTTCTTAATAGAAAAATGCAGATTTATATAGATTCTTGATTTAACAAATTTAAACTTAGTAAATTTTTGACCAGTTCCTTGTATATGCAGTTATGCTCCTTTTTTTTTTCCCCCAGAATCATACCCTTTTGCTGCTCAACACCATTTTTATTGGAAAGGATTTACCAGCTGTGCAATAGTGAGACTGAAATGGTGTGTGGTCCCCTCCCAGAGCTGCTTCCTGCCCCACAAAGGACATGGACTTCACTGTGCCAGAGTGTCCTCCCTGTCAGGTCCTTTTCCTGAAGAGTAACAAGAAATAAAATCTCTGAGAATTAAGGTAAATCCTAAATATGTCTCATTTCCCATCATTTCAGCCACATTGACTTTATTTTGGAGACATTTTCTCGGCAAAATTCCCCCCAGATTGTTGAAGATGGTGTATCTCTGTAAATCTGCTAACCTTTGTTTTTCTCCTTCAGTTACATTGTGATGGAAGAAGATTTTTACAGTAGCTAGGCGCTCTGTTTTGGCCATTTTCCTCAAAGTTTTTTTTATGTAGCCATTGCAAATGAGCCCTTTCTACAGCACATTCTCTCAGGGAGCTGAAATGTGATACAATCCAGGTGAATTTGTTACAGCATTTCAGGGCAACTTCTTGCCCAACCCCAACAAGAAGCTTCCTTGGACAATAAGTGTCAAATAATGTTACTCATGCCCCTAAAGAAGTATTCAAGGGGAAATTAAAGATAAATTCAGCGTTATGAACAGTCATGGCTATTAGTCATTAGTCATCACTGTTTGGGAGTGAGAGTGACTCTGTTTCTGCTTTATTTTGTGTTTTGTGTTCACAACACCTTTCCATTCTCCCTTACAGAAGAGCATGGATTTTTAAACTGAGAATGTGTCTTTGATATTTCTGAATCTCAAGACTGAAGTTTTTTTAAACTTCAGTTTAAAATGGAATTTAATGCTGTACAACCCTGCCTAACTCTCATTTCAAGTGACTTAAACCATGCTTATTGTCGTCAGCTACAGGAGATGGTCTGTAGGTGAAATAATGAGATCTGCCCTGGCTACATGCAATATAAATCCAGAGTTGGCCTTTTCTGGGGGTAGCACAGCAGTAGCAGCAAATATATACACCATAGGAATTCTGAATAAGAAGCAAACATTAAGTTTCAGTGTTTTACCCAAAGGAAGATATTTATCATTGCACTGGAATGGGATTAATTAAAGGCTATTTTAAAACTAATTTTCTCTGAGTTTTATGGACATTATTATCCATCAGAGCAAAATGTGCTCCATGAGCACCATAAACACACGCCTGAAGTCAGCTGCAAACCATGAGCCATTTGTGGAAGAGTGCAAACACTTGAGACAGCTCCAGGGCAGAAAAAGGTTCCCCCTGGGGAAGAAAAAAAAAAAAAAAAAAAAAAAAAAAGAGAAAGAGACCCTCCTGCTGTGGGGCCCAGATGAACTCTCCTTCCTCTCCTTCTCACTCTGAGGGTTCCTTGAAAACCTCCCAGCCACATGCTGATGTCCCTGCATCCCGCTCTGCTCTTCTCCTCTGACATGTGACAGGGTCACAGAGTGAAGGGATTGATTAAAAGCTCCTTGTTTATGGCCCAGTAATAAGTGCATACTGGTTTAGAGCATGTTTCCACATGGCTATGCCAAAGTCTTCTAAAAAATGCACATGCAGGGAGGTCATCCTATGAATCCTGTTTGCACCATGGATAGCTGGCTGAATTCAAATGTGCAAGGCATATACATTGAGAAATGTTATATTCAAATGGGGAAAACTTTCTAGAAATATTATTATTATTCACCCCCTGCTATCAGATCATAGCAATCCAACAAGACCTGACTGCTTTGAATTATTATTCATGTACCATAGAATATGTATTTTTTAAGTAGCATTGTAAATTAATGTTAGCAAAACGTAATTTGTAATTTAAATGTAAATCAAAACTGACTAAGAATATAATTAAGCTTTGAATGCCTAGGCAGTGTGTGCAGACTATTTTGTGGCAAGTTTTCAACTACGATTTTAAAGCATATTATTTGCCCTGAATGCCTCAACGCATATTATCTGTATATGTGTGCTATAAAAATGTAAATAATAATAATAAGACACTAGGTTACACACTGTAGAATTCTAGATTGATATATTTCTGTGACACTGAAAACTGCTCCATGCAGAGTTTTAAGGGAGCAGTGCATGGAGACTGACTGAGGCAGGGAATGTTAGGAAGAAACAGTCCCCTCATAATTGGTGCTTCTGCTGCTTGAATTCAATATTTTAATAGAAGTAAAAACTGGTGCTTCTGCTGTTTGAATTCAATATTTTAATAGAAGTAAAAACAACAATGTCTGCTATTTTATCAAACAACACAGCCATGTAGCTCTAAGTAGTACATATATTTATATTGATATTTGCTTCAGTGCAAGGCAATAGTAAGAGCATAGAGAACATATCTATCAGTCTATTCTTTTACTGAAATCACTGTGTGGTTGCATAAACGTTTGGCACTGGCCAAGCTGTGTGCAGAGCTGTCACCACTTGCCTGGCCCACTGCCCTCTCAGCACAGATATTTCCCCCCTGATGCAACCCCCTCTGGGCTGTGCTGAAATGTTGGACCACAGGTATTAGTGAAATTATCTCAGCTGAAACAAGACACAAACCCATCTAACTACACTAGCAGAGACAACTACCTGTGAGGTTGAAATGTAATTCAGATTTTAAAGTAATAAATATATTGTCTTACAGAAACAGGGGCTTTGTAGCACTAAGAAATTGCCAAGACTATCTGCTTGAGCAGTTCAGGGTATTATCTTTAAAACAAAGTTGAAGATCTGATAAAAATGAAATAAATTAGTTTGAAAAAGGTCAGGACATATCTATATTTTTTAAAAGAGATGAGACTATTTAAAAATGCCTTTCTTGATCTCTGTACTTGGGGCAGCTATCAAATTGCTGCCATTCTCTTCCAGAGGGTGATGGGACCTCTTTGTTCGCTGTTGGCATAAGCACCCAGTAACTGGTGTTCCTGAGGGTGTCCAGTATTGAATGTCAGCGGTGCTGCCCACACTGCCTTGGCACTGCTGGGGAAGGGTCTGGATCCCCAAGAGGCTGTGGCTGCTGGACTGCTCCTGAATATCAAAACCATTGATCTCTGCTTGTTCTTCAGTGGCCAACAAACAGATGTCGAAAGGAGAAGAGCGCAAAGAAAAGGCACACAGGAAGGACAGGCAAAGGCTTGGAGGACCAAGTGTAGATTGCATGTGGCAGGCTCATCCCAGATGGATGCCAGATGCCCACCAAAGCTGCTCTATCCCTGCCCTCCTCAGCTGGGCAGGAGGGCAAAAAGAAAACAAAAGTCTCATGAGTCAAGGGCAGGGAGAAATCACTTGCTAACGCCCATCATGGGCAAAAGAGACTCCATTTGGGGAAATTAGTTTAATTTACCATCAATCAAATCAGAGTAGAGTAACAAGAAATGAAAGTAGGTCATAAAAAACCTTCCCCTCTGCCCCCCCCACTTCTTTCTGGGCTCAACTTTATTCCCTCACTCCCTCCCATCCTCCCCCTATGCTGCAGGGGGATGAGGAATGGGGGCTACAATTAGTTCATCACACTTTGTCTCTGCCACTCCTTGTTCCTCAGGGGGAGGACTCCTCACTCTTCCCTGCTCCAGCATGGGGTCCAACCCTCTTTGACAGGCAGAAGTGAAATTATTACTGACAGCTAAAATTAAGATTTTAATAATTACCTGAGCTCTTCTTTGCTTAGACCCAGCAGGAGAACATCCTACGTTGTGCAGTGTGTCAACCACTTACCTTGAAGTAAATGAAAGCTGAGGCTTTGCAGCATTGGAAAAATGTTCCGTAACTTTCAGCATTAGGCTCAAGAGTACTTTTTTAGTATGAAGAGTTCAGCAGGAATTGCACCTTGTATGAGATGAGGACAGACAAATAATATTCAGAGTGTAAATGATGTTAAAGACTGCTGAAATGGTAGAGGGGGCGAAGACAGAAAGGGAACAAAATATTATAGAAGATTAAGAGGTGAATTAAGATGATAGCTTCTCTCTTCCCACACATAGGTACTGATTTCACACCCTTTCAGAGTTTGTATTTGACTGCTCACAGAGCCTTTCAGCATCACTTTGATTGGTCTGTTCAGTAGAGAAATGGTCCAACCTTTGCACATGGACGAGCCCTGAGTATGGCTCTTGTGCTCTGTTAGGGCTCTCCAGGCAGTTTTGATTGTCTGATCTTCCATGTAAAGAAATCAGCTCCTGTTCCAAGGGAAATGCCATCTGCTTTGAAAATTACAAACCAATTCTTTTGTTAGGAAATTCTGATGCTGCAGGGGTGACCAAAGTTTGAGTGAGGATGTGGAGCCAAGGGAAGTTGCAGAGATGGTCTCCCATTTCTGTAACATCTCTTCCCCATTTCTTCTTGCTTGAGAAAGGGTTGTGAGGTGTCTCTAGACCAAGACCCACCTGCCACTTCATGGTACCTGCTTGTCTTGTCAGATATGCTGGCTGAACAGCCATCTAAGGTTGTCTGCTTCTGTGAGCTGACCTGGTGGTTTGAGGTTATGAGCCTCAAACTTTAGTGTGTTTCTGCAGTTGCTTCAAGAAAACCTTACTTGGCCTGAAGTGGGATTTCCTAAAGATGTTCCCTAAACTGTGATTTTGCAGAATTAGTGTCTTGTGGAAAGGTGGGTTAGTTGCAGAGTCGGTGTCTGTGTCTGTGTCTCTGTGTCTCTGTGTGCATCTACTCCACGATGCTGCTTAAAACAGTAAAGCAAGTCACCCATCACCTTCCCTAGCTGATCTAGAAACCTCCATGGACAGACTCCTCCCTGAAAGATGCCTGTCCCAGCTCTGTGCCACCCTCCTGGGAAAAGAGGCTTCCTCCTGTCTAGCCCAAACCTCTCCAACAGTCTGTCTAACACGGGGGCAGCTGCCAGGGCTTCAGGGAGGTTTAACGCCACTGGCCTCTCTGAGATGGATGTCTGTTGCCTGGTGTGCAATCTGCTTCAGCCATCATTGAGAAAGAGGAGTTCTTAGAATTGCAGAATGGGTTGGGTTTGAAGGGACCTTAAAGATCATCCAGTTCCCATCCCCTTGCCATAGGCAGGGATAGCTCCCACAAGATCAGGTTGCTGAGAGCCCCATCTGGTCTGGCCTTGAACATTTCCAGGGATATGGCATCCACAGCTTCTCTAGGGAACCTGTTGCAGTGCCTCACCACCCTCACAGGGAAGAATTTCCTCCTAATTTGTAGCCTAATCTACCCTCTTTCAGTTTAGAGGCATT